TTGTTTTTTTTTCTGAAGGCAGCAAGGGGTGCTTCAATGGAAGGAGGGGGGATGAATAATAAGGACTTGGACTTTAATGGATGGAATATTGTTTTTTAACTTTCAAAGTATTTTATTAATTTTCCAAAGTAGAATAAAACAATAAAATAGCACATGATGCACAGTCAGTATAGCATACAATTGCATTTCAGATTCTTCCACATTAGCATAGTCAAGTAGTAGGGGGGATCACTAGATGCCATACACACCATATATAATAGTTCTGTAAAACAGATCATGTCTATCACCCTATTCTTGCCAATTTATCCCCCATCAGCAAAAACAAAAACTCAAAACAGCTTAAGAGTCCGAAAAGAGTAGCTCCATCCCCGACCAAATAGCCCAACATCTACCTAAACATTAAACATAGTCCCCAGAGAAAAATTCCAGAATAATTGTTCAATGAAAATTACCGGTTTCCAGCACCCCTGTATATAACAACCAGGGGGTCCAGGTCAATTGAAAGCTTTTTTTAGTATCTTGGAGGATGCTGTGAAGTTTCTCATGGACCATAATCCACGACATTATTTGTTTAACCGAGTGGAATGGAATTGGTGGCGTTTTCCAAGCCCTAGCTATGGTTATTTTGGCTGCCAACAAAAAGAAAGTAATTCATTTATCCAAAGCTTTAGACAGTCCTGGAATCGGGTAATTCAGCAACACATATTGGGGATCTCGTGGGACTCTCACCCCAGTAACCCTAAATATGAGAGCATACAGCCGTTTCCAAAAAGGTCTCAATTTGGGGCATTCCCACCATATGTGATATATCGTGCCCAAGTGAGCACATCCCCTAAAACAATGAGGCAAGACCTCTGGGTATATTCTCGCTAGTCTGGCGGGAACCAAATACCACCTGGATAAAACCTTATAATTAGCTTCTATTAGTGAAATATTGAGTAAACCAGATGACACATGGGAACAACATTGATGTCAGACATCCAGAGGAATAACCTTTTCCAGGTCTTGTTACCAAGCTAACATATAGGGTAGTTTACTTTCAGATTCTACCAGGAGGGAATAGAGCAGCGAAACTCCCCCCCTCTGGCCCCTGGCTCCAAGACACCAATGTTCGTAGGTTGTTCTAAAGGAAGACATCACGTTAGGTGTTTTCAAAGAACCTAACAAAGTGTAACAATTGTCTGTAGTGAAAGTATTCCAAAGATGGCATGTGCAAAACCTCCTGACAGTAGGTCAAAGTATGGAATATTGTTTTTTAACCCTCTAGATACATACACCCAGAACCAGATCACTAGCTGAGCATAGCAACAGATTGTCCTTCTGGTTTAAGAGCTGGTTCTATCTATATATAGAGCTAAACAGTCCACTGGGGGAAGAAAGATGTTGCACAAAATAGCTTAGGGTTAAAAAAATAAAAGCAAGGAGATGGTGTAGTCAGGCTTTTTCCTTGCTTCAGGTGGGTTTTGCATTACCATTCAAGTCTATGGGAATGCAAAACCCACTTGAAGCAGGTCAAATGTACTTGTTAATCAATTCTGAATGATCTTGGACAGAAACTAATGGCATCCACACAAGATCGAAGGCCTTGGAAGGCCGTAATCTGGTGCTGCCTACACTGGGGGCCCAATCTCCAAAACCAGCTCCGGTTTAGGGAAGCCAAAACATTGCAAGAAGCTACACCGATATGCGTCGCCCTGAAATAGCAGTGGCTTTATTAGGCCTACAAAGGGAGCCACTGCTGAGAAAAGCAAGAAGGGGATTGACACATTTCCTTCAAAGCTAATAGCCACCACTGTTCTTTACTACATAATTTTTTTTTAATACCAGCAGAATTCACTTTTTTTCCCTGCGGTTTGTATCTCATCATTTTCAGCTTTGAAGTGTGAGAACACTTGAGAATAATCCTTCTTTTTAAAATGTTCTACTTATTTTTATCATGGTTAAAATGTAATCTTTAATCTTTTTTTAATCTCCTTAAACTCCTGTTTGCATATAGTTTCTTTATTCTCCTGATGATTCTGCTGAAAAATACATACCTTGTCTGAGGACATTAGTGAACACAAAGCAGATGTTCAAAACAATTTTTTCAATGTAAAAACAGATCCTTCTCTAACTTCTCCTTCTTGATGGTAGTAATTTGAGCAAATTATTGGTGAGACGGTAACAACATGTTCAGCACTTTATCATTGTGTGGACTGTTTATCGCACATAGGATGGAAGTTTGATTTAGTAAAGGTGAAGTTAGCTAAAGTTCTGCATCATGAATTTTAGTGAGTATTAACGTTTAATGTGCTTTGATAAGTATACACATTAAGGTATTATTGTAACATGTATCTGAAATCTGCTTGCTGTTACCAGTTCTTTTATATTTATATTACAAAAAGTTTATATATGCTCCTTCTTTTGTTCATTTATATACACTATATGACCCAAAGCATATAGACAACCCTCCAAATTATTGCATTCAGGCATTTGTAGTAACAAAACATACAAAGACAAGATAGACCCCTGGTGCGTATCCTGAGGCCCAGGGCCGTATGGGGCCCTTTGGTAATTTCTGTGTGGCCACTGGGACCTTGCAGAGACTAATCTGTGTTTCCCTATTGCCCTGCTATCACAGTGATCTCTAGAAGTCTTATGTAATGTGTTTCCAGTCTATATCTCCTAATCCATGTAACTAGTCTCCAACAATTCCTATAGCATGTTCACAGTCTCTTGTGTATCATGCCATAGTCTTCCACCATATCCTGTTGTGTGTCTGCTGCCTCTAACACTGAATATTATGTGCAACCCTTTAGCGATGACAGGGGCCACACTTAAGTCCCCTATATCAAGAAAGTTAATCACAACTGTTTCAGACAGTTGTGCATCTCATTTTGGTGCAAGGAAGGCTCTTTTCTGTTTCAGCACTACTGCGTCCCAGTGCCCAAAACCAGTTCTGTAAAGATATGGTTTGACTATTGTTGGGGAACTCAAGTGACTTGCACAAAGCATTGACCTCAACCATACTAAACACCTTTGAGATAAATTGGAACACTGATTGTAAGTTAGGCCTTCTTGTCTAATATCATTATCTAACTTCACAAATTCTCTTTTGGCTGTATGGACACAAATTCCCACAGACACATTCAAAATCTCCAAATTCTTGAAGAAATTCCACCCAGAAGAGTGTAGGCTGTTATAGTTGCAAAAGGGATGGTCAACTCTGTATTAACATCTATGGTTTGGGAATGGAATGTCCAACAGGCTCATATACAGTATATATTTACTGTACCAGCATACAAGGCATTTTACTAATGCCAGCCTTTGCGCACTCTTTCTCCGATATCCACCGTTCTATTGACCTCCATCAAATTACCTCTTTTCAGGGACTGCTGCCTGGCATTACATAGTCAGAGGGAAGGGCTTCTCCCATGCTAGTGAAGTTCCTTTCTTATAACTACACCAGCAAGGAAGGACTGGGAACCTTTGGCCTTGCGGGACGGGAGGACAAAAACAAGCAAGTGGCTCTTTCATGGCACAGCCAGATTTTTGTGTTCCACACAAAGTAAGCCATGATACCTCATAGATTATTGAGCATGAATGGTGGCCAGCAAAATAAATCTTCACTCACTTCAAGAGTTCTGGGCGCAGCTGCTATCCAGCACTTTTACTTTTTACTGTTGGAGTGCATTACTGCAGCATGTTGTGGTTTCTCCTACTGACCGCTACATCATGGTGGAACACAGTAAAGATATAAGGGTTGATAGAAGAAACCACAGCATTCAGCCAGGAACATCAGACATACCCACAAGTGTTGGATAGCAGCAGATTGGCTAGAGTTCTTGAACTGAGCAACTGTGTCCCTTCACCTATATAATTATTCAGCCTATTCATTTACAGGATATCTACCATTGAATTGTCTAAGCATAGCGACAAGGCAGCTTTAAGAAGGACCCTGAATACCCCTTATATAGCTATGAAATGTTTCCATTTCTTTATGAAGGTTAGTGCAATTTGCGTATAGCTGCCCTTTAAGAGGTGGATGATAAAAGAGAAGATGTATGCCAAAGGACTTCCTAATGTGACATTTAGATAACTGCTGAAACAAGAGTGGTCACTGGTACATTATGAACTTTTGACATGCGGCTCAATTAACTGGCTCATTAAACAAGACTAATAAGAGCGGTAATTGATTCCATTCTTATGTCCTGTGATATCTCACTGTCAACTTCATTTCAACAAAACTTCAACAATGCTTCTTGTGGAATGACAACATGCTGCAAGGCTGAACATAATTAATCTTCACTGTACAATACATGAAACTCTGCTCCCTACAGGTCTGAGTATTGGCCATCACAATTGAGAGAAAGAATGAATTTGCGTACAAAGCTGCAGTATATATCAAACATCAGTATATTCAGGCATTCCGTACAGCTTGACATATATCTGTTAGGATACCGGCTTGCTTGGAGCAGGTGCTGCTGATGAGAGCTTGTCCTCTAATGCCAATAGGATAACTGTCAATCACCCGTAAGCACAGTACAGGCATGAGTCAGACATTCACACACAAGAAAAAAATCAAACAAATGGTAAACATACATGGCTGGTATTGTTGAAGTGTGAACTTTCAGATGCTGGTAAGGAGTCAGACACCATGGTGCCAATTTCACCTTAACCAGAGCTGGATCTATAGTTTTTGCCAACGAATTTGATCTTGGAGCTGGGATTGTGGCACCGGTATATGAAGGTTGGCTTTCTTTTCCCTTTGAAACTGAAGATCCCGGTAAAAAGGAGTGAGTATGCCAACAAGTAAATATTTTTGCATAAGGTGGATTAGTGTTAGGGATACAAGGAAAATTAGTGTTAGGGTTGCAGGCAGGATTCCAAGGAGGGATATTGTAAGGACAGCTTTAAAGTGAACCTGAACTCAAAAAGCAAAGTTGTATTGTGTTATAGGAAATATCTAGAAATGGTGAAGGTGCCTAAGCAGAATCCTTAAAAATTTACCTTTTGTCTACACCCCTCCTGAAAAAAAAGCAGTACACCTCCTGGTATGTGAATGTGCCTAGGAACTCCTGTGCCGACAACCTCAGTTGTATATCTGCCGTGGGAGATCTAAGGCACTGCTGCATGTGACTGCTAGTCTCGGGAGATTTGGAGTGAGATTGAGTGATGTCACTACTGTACTGCACACTGTTCTTATTGCTGAATGAGAAAATGAAAATGAGAAAGCAAAAGCCTGCTTCTACCTAGATGGCCAGTGCAGTACAAAGCATGATAAGTCAGTAATGGGGAAATATCAGCTGCAGGGAGACTGCAGGCAGTATTGATGATTAGTCCTTTGCACTCTGTTTGTGCTCAGCTTCAAATTCAGTTCCTCTTTAAGGTCAAACTTCAGGCTTTTTTATTTTTACATATACTTGGTAAAAGTAAATACTTAGGGTTAGGGTCTTGTCCCTGTGACAGCAAGACAGGAAATGAGTGAGTGTTTGCCACCAATGTAGGAAGACACATGTAGTAGTAATCATCTTACAGAGGTTCTAACTCTTCCTTCCTGTTGAAAAATAAGTCTTGATGCAGTCTATGCCCTGACTAAAGCGGTTGCCCATTGCTTTCTGTTCTGACAGAAAATGAGGGGACATCATCACAGCGAGTTCTCAAACCACAGTAAGAGGCTGAACGGTGCTATACCTATCCCACTCTGTCCAAAACTAAGAAAAAGGTTTTGGCTTGAGCTGGGCTTGACGGGTGCAAACCACAATTAATCTCCTGTAGCTGCTAATGCTAACATATTGACTTTCTGCACCCTAGAATAAGTGTCTTGTGCTGATACTTAAAGGAGAACTATGAGGTGAGTGATTTTCACTCACCTCATAGTTCTAGCCGACCTGTGACAATGAGACTGTCACAGGTCGGTTCAGTAGATCGCTCACCTCTCGATCCTGTCACGGCTCTCTGCTGTGACAGGGGGGGGG